TTAAATATTTACTGATATTCCTTTTTTAAATAATTACTTAAAGATACCAGTAATTAAATTACATTTCCACTGACCATTATCGTATTTATCAAGCACTTTCCACCTAAATTGTGTTAATTTTTCGAACACATTATAAAAAAACTTTTAAGTCTCAATAAACCTTTTTAGATTTCCGACCCAATAAAGTATATATATTCTAGATCAGCATCACCAGGAGAGGCGATCTAGCCATGTCCGTCTGTCCATCTGTCCGTCCGTCCGACCGGCTGTCCGTCTGTCCGTCCGTCCGTTTCAACCAAACTAAACCCTCAGTTTAAAGCTATCTGCTTGAAATTTCCCAAAAGTTGTCTTTCTATAGTATATATGTAAGTCGGAATGAGCCTGATCGTTCGACTATATCATATAGCTCCCATAGGAAGAATCGGAAAACAAAATTCCAAAAAATTATAACTGTGTTGTTTTTAATTCTTTAAGCCAATATAAAAAAAACATTCTTTCAAATATTTACATATTTGTTTAAGGCAAGAAATTTATATCTATATACATTGGCCGTTTTTATTAAATTTAATTTTTTTTTAAATGCTCAATAACATTTCATGATAGCTGGAGTTTAGTTTTTCAATACTGCTGCCCTCTGAATGAAAACTCCTCCATGGCCCTAAAATTCTGACTGACATTCTGTCAAACAGGCGGTGACGTCTACGTCAACTTCAACAGTCGTCTCGTTCCACCTACCTCCTGACCACCCCCTTTTTGTTTCACTTTTATTTTAAATAAGAATATCGCGCCGGTATTCTCAAGTAGTTTTCTTGCTGATTGCATTCCCCGCCGGCGTCGTGGTTTCCTCTTCTTGTTTTCCCCTTATTCGCCAACAACTCTCTTTTATTTCCCATATGTCTGACTCTTCGCTGGAGAAGGGGTTGGCGGAGTGCCATTAAAGGCAAAGGGGTTGCTGCTCTGACGTGGATGAGGTAGAAATTGCTATGACGCGGGGGCCAAGGGAGTAGAGATGGATAACAAAAATAAAAGAAAAGATGACGAGGTTGCCTGATGTTGTTCCTTCGGGCTCTCAGGCTCGAAACGCTTAAGGATAAATGCGTCTGGGTTTAAAGTTATCGAAAGAATAAATGGCCAAAGAGAAAATCTTATTTATTTTACTTGCTTAAATTTAATCCACCTCTTAAAAGTTAATTTATAAAACTAAATAATTAATATTATAAAATAATTAATAATATAATATAAATAATAATTACATTAATATAGTTAATAATATAGTAAACTAATAATTTATACAATTCGTATTCCTTTGACTTCAAGCTGCCACGCAGGTATCAGAAAACCTATTTATTATTGTTATTAAACTTTTTAAACATTTAGTGAATCACAATTTAATTTTAATGTATTTGGGATTAATAATTATTAATTTATTAGAAACAGTTAGGATAAACATTTTTGAAATAAAATAAAACAATTATTAACAAGAGAGAACGCTATAGTCGGGTGCCCCGACTATCAGATACCCGTTACTCAGGTAAAGGGAGTGCGAGGGAGATGGAGATAGAAACTTTGATCACGCATAACTTTTTAACGAATGGTCCGATTTGAAAAATTTATTCTACATTTCGATAGGTATTGATAAACACAATAAAACTGCATTTTTACTTTTCCGAAATATTTAAATTTTTTAAATCGTATATAAGCGATTGTGGGCGTTAAAGGGGGCGTGGCACCATTTTGAAACAAACTTGCGCTGCGTAGGAACTCCTAGAATCTGCATGCAAAATGCCAATCTTCTAGCTTTTATAGTTTCCGAGATCTCAGCGTTCATACGGACAGACAGACGGACAGACAGACGGACAGACGGACAGACGGACAGACGGACAGACAGACGGACAGACGGACATGGCTAGATCGACTCGGCTAGTGATCCTGAACAAGAATATATATACTTTATAGGGTCGGAAACGCTTCCTTCTAGCTGTTACATACTTTTGCACGAATACAATATACCCTTTTACTCTACGAGTAACGGGTATAAAAATAAATAAATTTGTATTCGAATTCCTAACAGAATCCTACACTATTTGAGTCGCCTTTTTTGCAGCCGTAAAAGTTTTTATACATAACAAAAATTTTGCATACTTTTCAGGAAAAGCAATTATTGTGAAACATCTCAATTGTTTCTTGTTAAGATTTTTGTTTGCCTTTTCCTTTTTTTTTTTTTTGGGAGCGTACAATATTTTAAAAATATTGTCGGGAAATTTAGATCAAAATTCACCGCACCGATTGTTGCTAAATTTTGCTGATATTGTACAAACTATTTTTTTTAATTAAAGTGTATTAATTTTGCATTATTGATATATTTTATTTTCATTATCTCATTTAGTTCTTAATATTTTTTAATGAGAATTAAATGGTACGATTTACATTGAAAAAACATTAAAAGTACCAAAAATAACATTAATACTTCCAATTTCTACCGAAATAAAGAAACCAAGATCAGTAAAACAAAATTTGAAGTTCACATAAAAAATGCGTATACCTATAATTAATAACTTTCTTTTCTTTATTAATTATAATTTAATTTAATGGATTCTGTGGAGCATTTAAAACCCCCAATAAAAAAATCTTTCCACTGCCCCTGGTACTCTCGCACCCGTTGCGAAAGTGTCGCAAGTGTCTAAGCCCAATTTTGGGCAATGAGTTCATTGATCTAAGCCCAAAAAAAACATCTGCTCAAATATGTGCACGTTTGTGTTATACGTATCTATGCCACTGTTTTGTCTTCCACCCTCTCACAGTTTTCCCTTTGCCCACCCATAAAAGTTTACGATATGACATTCTGAAAAAATCAAGCAAAATTATGGTAAATATGCCTGAACACTCACGCCCCTCTTTTAGGTTCTGGAATGGGCATAAAACTGATACACAGATATTCTCGAACGGCGAACAAAAAAAGCCAGGCACTCACACACGCATTTCCAGTTAATTAAAAGTATTTATGACACTGCGCACATAAAATGTCTTCCAAAGTACAAAACTCCACCCAAGGATCGTGGGAAGTTCCTTTTCTGTCGTCGCTATATGGCAAAAAACATCTTGCAAAAAAATGGTTGAAAAAAATCAAACATAAAGATACTCTAATTGCATATGCAGAGGAAATTGGTGGGCAAGGTTAAAGTTCCTTTCTATGCGGCTGTGAGGGGTGATTCTCCCTACTCTTCCTCTTGCAGTCTGGTCTGGTTTATGGGAAATAGGAAAAAATCACACTCACGTATTTGTGAGTGTCTTCGCACACATACCCAAGAAACCCAAAGGACAAGGTCTCGAGTCCTCAAGGCAAACACAAATAAATTGGTACCAAAAAATGATCTAAAAAATAGAGTAAAATAGATTTAAAACTAGAAAGATCACATTTTCGGCGTAGTCAAAATTTAGTGGGTATGGGAAAGACTGATAAGATCGCCCTGCAAGTTGAAGAGGTATCTAAGATAGTCAGGAATAATAATGAAAGACGATTGTGAATTGTACAAATTTAAACAACAATCCTCATGTTAAAAAAAAGACAGCGGTTTTTGTTAATTTGATAGTACAAACTTTAATAACATAGTGATTGATGATTTCAAAGGAAAAAAATGTAAAATATTTTATAAAATATTATATTGTAATCAAATATTTATAGTAATTATTTCATCTTTAAAAACTGCGAAGCTAAAATTTGAATTCAAATAATTTTTCTGGAGTTTCGGGACAGACGGAATTTGACTGTTCTGGTGATTTTGATCAAGAGCGTATGTATATACTATTAACATCTGACCAAATATTAGCAATACATAAGAAGTGCCCGTTAAAATTTTAGCTGTATAATATAAAGTATTAAACAAGCTTAAAATGGTGCCAAAAATTACGATAGACCCCCATTCATTGGCAATTTCCTGCCTTAAAAAATGACCCCATTGATGGTCTGAAAATCGGCAACGCAGCATATACAACAATGTCGTCACTGCAATGCAATGCAACACTTGGAACACAACTGATAAAAATAAAGATGGTAGTCGAGAATGGGGGACTATGTCTCCCCTCTGCCGGCGTCACTGTCGATGGGGGTGCGGTAACAGCGACGTCGACCACTTCCGAATGAGCGATTTTTAGCCGATTTGTAGCCGGCAAGCGAGAGAGTGGAAAAAGGGATGGGGCCAAGAGCAGCTCTCTCCGAACATTCGAGTCTGGCTTCCACATCCCACATGGGAAAGAGAAGTAGCAGCCCCACTTATGTTCCACTCTCTCGAGCTTTCGCTTTCCGCCCTGTCTCAATCACTCTCAGCTGGTTTCGATAATTCGCTACAAGTATCAAGGCATTTTCACATTTTTAAGATTCAATTTTTATAGGAAGATGTTTAAATAAATATTCCATTTCTCATTAAGTTGTTTCTTATAAAGTTTCCAAATACCGGAAAATTGCAGTACAATATTTTAATATATGAACGGAATACTCTTAAACGATTAATATTTAATTTTGGTTCAACTAGGAACAAGGTCTTAATGAATTTCTCAATCTATTAATGAGTTTTTAATCTTTTTATCATTTATAGAAAACGAATTCGCTTATTCTGTCTGTTGTTTAATTTCAATATAAAATAAAAGTAAAATATTCCTTACCTTTTAATTTGTAAACCAATCGTAATATCGTATCGTTGATCAATTTTTCTCCACTCGCACAACCCACGTTCCACTCTCTCAGTGTCGCCGGCGCTCAGCTGCTGCCGCCCCAAATTCGCCGTCGTGTTGTGTTTGTGGCTTCTCGACATTTTCGTCGATTCGCCGCAATCACTTCGCTAGGTGTTGTCGAGTCGTGACGTCGCTGCTGTTGCCGCCCGCACACACATGTGCGAACAGAAAATACGTTAGAAGCGGTCGATAAGTAGAATCGACAGAAAAATCAGATAAAACAAAATAAAAGCTAACTGAAAAGAGTAAAAGACTGAGGTATAAATAAGTAAATATAGCTAGACAAAATAGCAATAATTTAAAGTTTTCAGTAATAAAATGTGCTATTACGTCGGGGCTAACGTTTTCTCCGCTTAACGTAATGAGACTCCCTGCTTTAACTCTCTCTCTCTCCGATTCTCTTTCTCCGGGTGTGGATTGCGTTTTTGCCGGCGACGTCGCTACTCCAAAAAAGACACGGCACAACCAACACACACACTCATTTTGCGTTTATGTTGTGGCCCAAGAAGTTCGTCGCCAGTCCGCAAAAATGTGAAAAGGAAAAACTGAGGAGGAAAAACAAGACCGAAAAGACTGCTAATGCAAAAAACTCCAAAACCGCTGGGAAGCATCAGAAAATCCGATAAAAAGTGCGCGCGTGCAACAATAATGTGATATCTACATCAAATGTTCGAACTGCTGACGTCACGCACAGAATCGTATAATATATAGAAAATAATATAGAGGAGAAACGTCGCGTAGTGAAGTAAAACGTTCCCACACACTAACAGACTGAGTCAAAAGAGGAAGAAGCAGCAGTATATAATACGTGGAATACAAAAGGTAGCCGAAAAAAGTGTAAAACACCCACAAAAAAGTAATACAAATTTGCAAATATGAAACGTGTGTGATATTCAAAGAGAAAGAAGTAGGCGACGGTGAAGAAAAAGAAGCAGAGCCATTTGTTGTTGCGTGTGATACATATAAAAGCATATAAAAAAAGGAGACATGAATTCCAATTTTTAGGTGCGTATTCAAACAAAAATAAAGGGAGTTTTATCTTATCGATGATCAATTAATAATTCATTTTTGGGCTTCGCCTAAAGCCCCCTTATAACCTCCAAAACTGGTATGGTGAAAACTAGTCATTCATTCACTCATTCAATCCCTCATGCTCCAGTTTTAAGAGATAACGAATCCAATTCGTTGTCCATCAGTTGACTTTTTATTTCTGTTTGCCCAAAGTCAACGGCGAATTCTTTATGGCGCCCCTATATTAATAATTTGTACTTAATGTAAAGGCAACAAAGGCAGGTAACATGTTTTTTCTTATTAAAAAACGGTTTTTATTGTCCTAAAAATCCTCAAATTATCATAAAATATGCTTTTCAATTAATAAACCCCAACAAAAAAAAAACTATTCACTATATATGTATGTAAATGCTATTTCAATTTTACAAATTTATCTTAAAATGTGATGACGTTGTAAATATAAGACTTTAAATAAATGTGTGATAGAAAATACAACTATTTTAAAAATGGCACCGTAAATGGCTTTTAACATTAAAATACCTAAAAATACCGCCAATGTTAAATAAACTTATTACGTTTTGGATATGAAATAAAATAAAATAAATAAATTTAATTGTACTGACTTGTTGCCATTTCACAAATTAAAGATATATTAAATATTATAGCATTAAAGTGCTATTTAATAAAGTTGTTTATATTAACCAGATTATTTATTTAATTATTTTAATGCTAATTCATATTTAATAATGTTTTGTAATTGGAAGTTGTTTTTTTTTTCCTATTTGACCGTACTTATTTAATACTCGATTTAATCTGTTGCACGTATTAAGCCACTGCTCAATATGGTGTATATGTGTACATATGCATGTATGTATTAATGTAAATTATAAATGACCCCTGTTATCACGTCTTTTAAATATACAATATTCGATTGGTTCAAGATGCGTCATCTTTCGAATTCGAGTGACGAGGTGTAATAGAGTTTTATGCATTAGGTATTTGGTGTAGAATTGCATAGGACTTCCCCGAAAATTCTTGCGGTGCCGCCATTAAATTTCTACACCCATGCGAAAACTTTTGTGTTTTCCGGTTTTTCTTTTTATTAGCTATTTTCTCCGGGCGAAATATTTTGCGACGCATTTTGTATGCCTCTCCCTGGATAAAGCTGCTTTCCATTTCGCTCATTCTCTTTTTTCTCGACAGTTGGTATTTATATCTGGTTTTCTCAAACGAAAAAATAACAAATCTGATGCTGTTTACTTATGTTTTATTTATAATAAAATCATTTATGCTAATTGTAATACTGTAGACACTCTAGAGTACTTGATTTTTATAACAAAATAAGAAACACAATTTTTAAATCGTTTTCAATAGAACCACGGGCGACAGAAACGTTTGTTCTTTATGAAAATTAAAAAAAAAATCGCAGACTATTTTTTTACCGAATTTTTTGGGTCGAGGATCTAAAACGTTAGTATTACCTAATTATAGAAAAATACAGCTAAAAAATCAACCATGTGGACATTTTCTTTTCTCAGCCAACAACAACAAAAGAGAATTTCTATGTGGATTGTGTCTGTGACTAACAGCTGTTATCCGAATTTGGGCCGGCTTCTTCTCTCTCTCACCCTTTCTCTTTTTCCAGCAGCATCCCACACATACTCAAACCGTAAGACTCTCAGCTAATACACAAAAATCGCGTTCTTCCTCTTGTTTTTCTTTTTATTTCACTTTTTTTCTCAATTGCAATTGTTGTTTCTCAACACCTTGCACACTCGCACATTATTTATTTTACTTGTCCCGTGCTTTTCTACTGCGCATGCAAAATGATGTGCAAAAAGAAAGCGAAACTTTTTATGAGCTTGTGATGTATGTGTGGGTGTATGGTCCGTGTGCTTGCGCTCCTGTGAGAGTGTCTGCATAAAAAATTAAATTCATGTTAAATAACGATAAATCGGGATGTTCAAGAAAATACCAATTTAGGCAATACAATTTAATTGACAAGAAATATTGAGGAACTATTTATAAAATATCTTTTTAATAAGTAGAACCGAGAAATTAAGAATTAATCAATAAAAAACCAAAGAACCAATTAAAATCTAATTAAAAAGAGTTTTAATTAAATTTTAAATTTTTTATTAACAAATTTTTTAAAAACTTTCAAGTTGTGAAATTTTTCAAAATTTTTGTTTGTGACCATCAAGCGTTAATATTCAGGTTATTAATTAAAAATAAGTTGAATTATAAAATAAAGAGCCTATAAAATTATATTTTATTTTAAAACGGCGAGCATGACAGAATAGAGGGAAGAGAGAGGAAGCGCAATCAAAAATAGCATTGCGTGCGTTAAGTCGCTTGGCTGCCTCTCACCTCTGACAACCCCTAGCGGAATTATTTACTTGGCTCCTGCATACTGCATATGTGTACGTTTTATTTACTAGCCTTTTCCTTTATCAGTCATACATATTTTACGGCTCTCAATGAGAACCAAAATCAAAGCAAAGAAAAGCTATTCTACTTTTTATTGTTGATCCGCTCTGTTGCGCCAATGTTGATCGAAAAGAGAAAGAAAGAGAAAAAGATAAAAAAAAGAAATACTTGTTATTTTACTTCCCGTGCATGCTACATTTTTCACGATTTTCCGTTCACCGCTTCGTATTTTCCCTGTTTGCATAATGTTATTTTTTTCTGTTTGCTTCGCCTTGTGCTTTCCATTCTGCTGTTAGGTTAAATGACAAGTGCACTTTGAAGTTTTATTATACAAATAAAGATACATTACCTTCAAGATACCATTTTTTCGAGGGTTAAAAATCAAGAATTTCTTGAGCGAATTATATTTTAATTGCCTAGACTTAGACAAGCTTACTATAATTAGGTCTTATTTAAACAAACTTATTTAAGGTCCAATATATAGTATAAATGAAGTAAGAAATTTGGGTGTATACATAAATAATATAATATTTAAAAAGTATGTATATTTAAATAAAAAGTACAAGTTTAATTTAACCTAAAATATTTTTGTTTAAGAATTTGAAATTTATTTTTGAATTTAAAGGCCAGCAAAAAATGTTGATTTATGAAAAAAGACTGGTGTTTTTTGAATTTTATTTGTTCAAGGCTTCCCAATCTCCCCTTTACCCGTTTTTTTCTAAATTGTGTTTGGGTAAGTTTATACGTCCCACCGTAATTTTAGATGCAAAATATTTCCTACTTGTTCGAATTTTGCGTGCCGATCAAAAGAAACTTAAATAAGAACCTACCTGGTTTTTTTAGGTACCTTTTTCCTCTCTCTTCTCTTTCTGCATTCGCCTTGTGTCTGCCCACATGACTTTTATTTTAAAGGGAGAAAGAGAGAGAATGTATACGGTTTCATTGTATAGGACTTGAATTACCTAAGCTCGTTCATCTGTAAGCGGATACCGCTTTTTTAAACTTAAATACACACCAACGCATTAACACATGCTTGAAGAATCACTGGAAAGCTTTTGGCTAATGTAGAAATGGATACGAAAAAATGGAATTAAGGGGGTATATACCTTTTTCATTTTCAAAAAATCGAGATTTTTTTTTTGCTTTATCTTAAAGAACAACTTCTTGAGAATATTTCCCAAAATTTTCATAGAGATTTGAGCTGTAGATAAAAAGTTACAGCGCTCCTAGCCGCGCGCCTCGTCCCCGCCCGAACCCAAACTTGAAACTTTAAACGCGAATACCTCGAAATGGTTTTTTTTAAAAATGAGTTTGCGGTGATATGGATTGGCGAAAAACTACTGAACCGATTTTCTTCAAATTTTTTTTTAAATGTTCGTAATGAATTTTATTAGTACTTGAACAATCGTTTTTTCATGTAAAAATTTTTATTTCGTCGAAATAGATAGTTTTGTAAGAATTTAAGCGTCCAAAAACGTAATTTTTTGAATAAAACGATCCCGTATGCACAAAAAAAAAAATTTTTTAAAAACGTTCGTTCAAGTACAGGATACTACTTTAAACTAATGAAATATTTTTATTTTTTCGGTATCAGTTGACCCATACGTCCTGGGGAATTATCACCGCAAGGCTCTTTAAAAAAAAGGCGTTTAAGGGAAACAGCCAACCCTTAACAACTATTAAATATTTTTTCAAAAATTTTTGCATAAACATTGTCAACAATCTAAACTTTCAGAAAATATAATCATTCATTTAATAAAAACAATAGTTACATACATAAAAAATTCAAACTTTCCTATTTTTTTCGACAAAAAAAGGTATATACCCCCTTAAGTTGTTGCCAACGAGACTGTAATTTATTGGAACAATGACAGTGGGAGAGAGAAAGAGAAGGAAGTGTGTCACATTGTAGAGTAAACTAAAAATGTAAACTCTATTAGTAATTTGGTAATTTTCATCCTTTATCCAATAATTTAAAAACCCCACTGTTACGGGAACCAAAATATTATATACATATGAATTCATTAATAATGTAGAGTAGAGTAATGGATTTGATATCTACATAGAACCAAATCACTATAAAAGCTATGACAATGAAAAATACGTTTTGAGCAAGTGCAGTGGTATACTTGTTACTCTTGCTTATGTTTGTCTTGTGTTTCTGTGATAGCTTATATAAGTTTTGGGATTTAGAAAACTGATACAATTATATAAATTCTATAATCTATTTTAAATAAAACTTGTAGCCTACTTATTATACCCGTTACTCGTAGAGTAAAAGGGTATATTGTATTCGTGCAAAAGTATGTAACAGCTAGAAGGAAGCGTGCCGAGTCGATATAGCCATGTCCGTCTGTCTGTCTGTCTGTCCGTATGAACGCTGAGATCTCGGAAACTATAAAAGCTAGAAGATTGGCATTTTGCATGCAGATTCTAGGAGTTCCTACGCAGCGCAAGTTTGTTTTAAAAAGGTGCCACGCCCCCTTTAACGCTCACAATCGCTTATATACGATTTTAAAAATTTAAATATTTCGGAAAAGTAAAAATGCAGTTTTATTGTGTTT